TTAAAAAACGCCTTGGCTGCATTTTCAGGTAAACAGCTGCAAAAACTTTGTTGTTTGCATAACTCAGTTACTTTTTTGAAGAAGTAACTAAATAATTAATTGCCCAGCATTGGTCATTATTTACTGTATTTGCAGACAGAGTTACAGACTCTCTCCCAGACCACAGACTCATAATACAAGTCAGAGCTTTATAAAAAAAAAAAAAAAAAAAGTTGTGTTTTCAAAATTGGAGTTCAAGTTATTTTTCCTTCCAATAGTGTTAACATGCTACAGGTCATGAACAAGACTTTTTCAATTTTTCACTGTAAGTGGGCTAAAGCAGTTAATTAAAAGTAGTCTAACATAAATGCTGTGATTTGATTATTTTAATAAGCATGTAACTTGGATGGATTGGATGCTGGCGTGACCACAGTGGTCCAAGGGACACTCAGGGAGTTTGTGTGTTCGCTCAGACACGTGAAACATTAGAGGGAACGTTGGTTGGATGGTTAAAAGGTTTCCAGCGTTAGAGATATCTTCTCTTAAACCTTATTTCAGAGTGCGGTTTGTTTTTAGTTTAGAAATGTAGCCCTCCTGTAAGACATCGAAACCAACAATGTGATACCTTTAAGAACTGAGTAAAAAAATATATAATTTATCTGGATGGGCAGCAAATTAATTAGTTACACCGATGGCAGAGGCAAAGATGCTAAAAGTGAGCGAGATGGATAAGATTAGAAATGAGTATGACGGAGGGACAGCCTGGGTTGAGTGGGGAAAGTGGATATATTAGACAAAGGATGCTAAAGGCTGCTCGGCAGGAGGAAAGAGGAAGACTAAGACTGTAGTGAAGGAGGACGTGTCCTGCTGTGACAGAAGAGGATGGTAGGGATAGGGTGAGATGGAGGGAGAGGATCTGCTTCCTTGTCTCATCCAAAAAATAAGCACAGAAACAATAATACATAAAGTAGGTAAAGTATCCATGAATAGGTGGATGTTCTTGAAAGCAACGAAAGAAAAATGATCATTTAATCTAAGAGGCGTTTCGAGTTTCCTTTACCAACAGATGTCGCTTCCTCTTCACAGACATGAGCAGCAATCTCTCTGCAACACCTCTCTACAGGCCAACAGGGCCCACAGAGAGACACAATCCCAACCCTGAGGGACAGCCAGGCAAAGGCAATGATATCACTGAGACGTGGCACAAGGCACTTATTACCACAGATGGATAGATAGCGCTCTGGGTCTCCTGGGGAGTTCAGAGGACCACTTAGGAGGAAAGAAGGTTTGTTTTGTCTGCGTGTGCTTTTTGAGCAGTGGTGTCCGTCCTCTTTCTCGCCAGCTTTAATTGCCTGCCTGTTCAAGCAGGAGTTAAGCTGATTTGAAAGTGCCTGCTGAGAGCAGGAGCAGGGAGAAGCACTGGAGGAGAGGTGATGCATGATGAGGTGAGCCTGTGGCCATACCGTGGACCTCATTCGCTAGATACTAGAAGCAGAGCAGCATCCTATTTGAATGCAAAATAAACAAACAATAAATAATGCAACAACCGGTGTGTCCGGCCAGCACTTTGAGTCTGTTTCAGTTCAATTCCTGTTAAACTCCATTTCAAACAGACCAAATTAGGTAGACAGCAGAAAGAAAAATGGCCATGAAGTGACGAAACTCCTTTATGTGCCATCTGAAATCGTTCCAGCGCCTTTAAATATATCCTTTAAAGAGTACTAATGTTACGAGTGAGAACATGTTCACAAAGAGCCTTTAGAGGGAGACAAATGAGAGCACATCGGCCGGTGTCAGAAGCGACAGTCGAGCGGGATAAGAATAGACACAGCAACAGGTGGCAGGGATTGATGATACGTAATTAAATTCAAAAGCTCGTTTCATTTTATTTGTGAGATTTTGCCGGGGATTAAAGGCTCTGATAATTATCCCCTGTTTCATTTGTGTTTGCAGATGGAAGAGGAGGAAATGGCAGTCACACTGCTTGCAAAAAGAGCGATCGCACAGCTTCTGTGCCAGCATCCTGCAGATCCTCTTTCTCTCAACACATGCGTGAAAAATGCCCGACGTGATGTACATTTTGTTTATTATGTCTCACGTTAAGACATCTGAAAATATCTTCCGTGAGTTTGTGGTTCGCTGTCGACTCGTGCAAACTGTGAAGGTGGAAGTGATCTAATCTAACCATCTCACAGGAAATAGCACTGACTCTAACATTAAAGCTGAGCTGCACTTCAGTGCTTTTGACATGATGTTCTCCTGCACCCGGTGTGGATTGCAATATTGCACCGCTAATCACTGAATCGAGCATCAACGCCTCCAGCAGAGAAACCCTCACTGCTCCTGTCTTTGATGTATAACAGCACCAGAAAGGGCAAGTGAAGGTGCACAGCAGTGAGTGGCAGCAGCTTTGCATGTGGTGAGGGCATCAACCAAAGCAACGCCACACTTTTATGCATTTCATACCTCTCGCAGAAATAAGGGCTGCTGTTCCCTGATGCATCTCTCAGCAGGTCTGGACACACCTGTGTATTAAAATAACTCCTGCTCTCCCTGCTTGGCTCATTCTTGCTTGCAGTCGGCTTAATTTGACAAACGTTTCTCCTGCTGCACAAACATTACAGACCCCATGTGAGCAGTGCCATGCTGAGTCTGGACCTGCATTTTTGCAGTTCACATTTATGGGTAGATTTTTTTTTTTAATTGCAGAAGTGGGCCGTGTTGAAATGAAACACAACTACACCCTCATACCATTTTTAACCCTGAGAACTGTATTGAATGTTTATATAATAAAGTTGTGTCCTTATCTTTTGAAAAAAATCAGCAGTCTACTTCTATTTTAACCCTCTCCATCAGCTTCATGTGTATCTTACAGGCCTCACTGAGGAACTGATGGAGAACACTCGTTTTACCTTCTCGCAGTCAGTCAGCCTGAAACCATCACCTGCTGAAAGCCTTCTGTCAGTGTCTCCACCATCTGATTTTCATTAGGAGGTTGGCATGAGGGTTAATATATTTCTGCCACCTGCCCCGCTGAAAAAATATTTTGGTTGCTGCACTCATTCATGCATTCAGGCTGGAAATGTCTTAAAATTAATCTTTCAAGGTTAATTCTTTATTTCATGATCTACTGGCTAGTAAACCTGTAAATCACTGCTTTTTTAAACACTTGTTAAAGTTAGAACAGAGAATTCTTATTACAAAAAAAATATATTCTCTTTTAAATCACAGACATCATTAACTGTGCTACAGCTAAGATTTACTCTGATGGTGACACGAGATGATAAATGATTGAAGCCCTGAGCCAGTCCTGATTTCTTTACATTTCCATGAAAATCGAAATAGATGCATTGATTTGAAATATAGTGGAAATATATGCATATGTCCATGGAAGTAGAGTAAGGCTGTATGAGTCAGTGTTTGGTATAAGTAGTGTTCAGGAACAGTTTTCCAGGCTTCTTGAAGGACATTCAAAGCTCTTCTTTGGATGTTGTCTGACTTTTGTTCTGTTCTCTGATCAAGATGATCCACATTGATTCAATAATGTTGAGCTCTGGGATCTGGGGAGGCCAATCTATGACTGCATAACTGCATTGGCAGTGTATTTGGGTCATTGTCATGCTGAAAAATTAAGCTGTTGGCAGATGGTGCAACAAAATCTTAGGATACTCTTCAGCATTCATAATTACATCAGTTTTAACGCTTTAATGCAAGCACTCCAGTACCACTGGCTGAAATGCAGCCCCAAACCACGGCAGAGCCGCCACCATGTTATACAGACAGCTGCAGACACTCACTCTTGTATCCTGGGCCAGATTATCCAGTGGGTATTCTGGGCACATGCCCGGATGTACCTGATGTCTCTGGTAGATTAAAGTAGTCTCTATTTTTCCACCTGATTCTTTCCCACTGCACTGCTGAGGGTAGTCTCTCCCAAAGTCAGGTAGCTAGTGAATATGGTACTTCAAAAACAACAGAAATAGACGTGGTTAAGGCCTACCTCTTAGGAAAATTCTCATTTGTTTAACCAGTTTGGGAAAATAACATTGCAGTTAACTTGAAAGTTCTTTAGATGTTCAATGAGAATACGTGGAAGTTAATTTGGAGGTTACCTCCCAGTGGATTTATGAATTAAAATGTTGGTTTGATCTCAATAAAGGAGCCATGGTGAAAGAATTAAACCCAGAGGATATTTCTGTTTTACAATTATTATTATTATTAATTTCTAAGTGGACACATCCCAAAAATGCTTTTCCTGAGAAAAGTTCCACTTCACTATATTGGCATTTGGCTTTATTCATTGGACATGAGGTACTGGTGTGTGTAAAATGTTTGCAGTTTTGTCCTGTTATACAATATTTGAAATGTAAAAAAACAACCAAAACACCACATTTTCAGAAATATTTGTGGGTTTTTCTTGTTTGTTTGTTTCTTTGCACTACTTGAACACCAAAGTGGCCCTCCAATGAGAAGACAGTGCCGGCAGGGGCCCACAGCTCATTTAAGTTTGATGCCCCTGGTTTAAATTAACAGCTGCAACATCTGCTGTGGAAACAGAAAAGTGTCTGAGTGGTAATATTTACCGTTTCCCATTTAAAAGTTGCAAAGGCGACGCTGATGGAGAATGAAGAACAAAGACAGAAATGATCAGCGTTTAAATGCTTCAGTTGTTCGTTGGCTGAACTTTGACGAGCTGTTGTTGAATTTGTTGTACAAACGCATAAAGGGTTCAGGTTCCTATTAAATTGTATATTCTCGATTTTGTGGAGAAGTGATCCAATGGGCTGCCGGTATACACTATTAAACCCGCCTTCTTGTGGTTGCTATGCCTACTCCGCGTTCCTCTCTGATTGAAGGGAGGAGTAGCCAATCAGCGCTGAGCTGGGAGGGAGTTTGCGCTCACACTGCCTGGTGAATTTCTACTACTAACGTCAAACCGCTCAGGGTCCGCTGAAGAGTCGAGCCCGCTGAAAGCCCGGGGATGGAAAATGTACGATAAGCTGTGTCTGAAAACTCCGTGCAGGTGATACGTTCTTCCTTTCCCTCCTTCCTTCCTTTGTGACATTCACTGCAGGCAGAAATAGCCTAGAAAGACTGCGCTAGTGCACCGCTATTAAAAATATCGGGCAGTAGTAGACACGGTTGTTTGACATATGAAGCGAGGGAAATCCAGCTAACGCTGAAGGAGAAACTTGGGTGAGACGTGGGTATAAAATGTAAGCTATGGCCAGAAGCTGAACTTTATCTTAATGTTTCCGCAGAAACACTTTGTTTTTGGTCCTGCTAACATAAAAGTGTTTAATATCCTGTCTCGCACTGAGAGGCTGTTTCTGCTCTGTGATGCTACTTTGCAGTCATTTGAGTGAAATTATTGCCACAGGGTTGTTATTGGGAGTTGAACTGCTCGATGGGGTTTCCTGCATGCTGAAGCAGGTTGTCTGTCGTTGTGATGATTGTTACTAGACAAGTTTATGCAATCATGGAAACCTTTGACTTATAGGCCGGTATTGGTACTGGCGTTTAAGAGTTTAAAATACTGTGTGCTCGTACAGGTCTGTGTGATAACCTGAAAGCAGCTGCTAATATCAGCTGCATGTGCGTGACCAGCGAGGTGGATCAGAACCAGTCCTGGGTTTAACTGCTGGACATCACAGATCACACACCCGCTGTGGGGCTTCACTGACTTGACTGCAGATGTTTTGTCCTAGATATCCTCTGTCAGTTCTTAGAAGTGTGTCAGGCTTCACCGAGTGACACCTAACTTAAAGACATATGAGGGAATTCTTCTAATACTTCTAAGCAACATATTCTCTGGGCTGTGAGGTACATTTCAGTTTGCATGTCTGTTTTGTAGCTTCAAAGACACTAAACCGAGAGATGCAACAAGATATCAACAGAACATGGAAATCAGCTGATACTCATATTGGTTATCTGCAAATATGATAGCAAGAGCACTTGGCAGTTCTCTGGGACAGATGGGGAGATAAATAACCAAAATATTGGACCAACAAAAATCAGCATCAGCCGGTGGCCAAATGACTACTTTATCATGTTAAATGTTTGTGTTGGCCCAGAATTTCACAATGAGTGTAATGTTTGGAGCTTGTCGTGAGTCTCAGTCTCAACTGAAGAAAAATACATATTGGCAGTTTCATAATGTCCTGATTGTCGGTAAACAAGCAAACCCACATGTAAATCAGGTCCACCCCCTCGCTCCACGTCCTCTCTGTCACTCTGTTGACTGCTGTCAAATAAAGGTAGCTCGAGTGGTGTTAGCCTAACCTTGAACCCACTTTGCTTGATTCTGGAAATGCATCATGTCAAACACCTTCAGGTGCAAGTAAAGGCTCATTTAATTTTGTTGCATCACTTTTGAGGTGCAAATCAGCCACTGTCTGGTTGCACCAAAGAAACCATTGTGTGGAAATCCCCGTTTGACTGATAGACATTCTCGCCATAACTTTATGTTAGTCTGCAAGCATGTATAGCGTGAGCCGCAGTGTTTGCAACCTCAGACTGTAGCACATCTGTCTTTCTCTGTGTGTCTTTGAAACCAAGTGGCAGGAGTTGAGAGTTGAAGGCTGCTGGGATCTTTTGATATGAGAGGTAAACAACGCTCTCCCTTGTGCCTTGACTACAAGGAGAAGGTTCTGTTTCCTCCTGACTCTGAGTCAGGGTGAGTGGGATGCAGAGAAAATACTGAAAGGAGGTGTTTTACTATCATTAAATAAAGTATAATGCAGCAGCGTCGGGAGGAATGGATTTCTTTTCTCGATTCTTTTGTTTACAGACGTCATTAGAACGGATTGCGTTTGATTGCTCGCTGTTCATTCGCTCACTAAGCTGCGTGCTTTCACACCCCCGCACCGATCTCTGCCTAAAAATCTGATTGCACATGGACCAAAAGTTCGATCTCGATGTAGAAGGACGCGTATACTGGTTTCAACATAAATGACGATGCGGTCTAAGTTTGTCATTTTTATTAGGCCGTTTGATGTTGTGGGTTTATTTTGGTTATTGACATCTACAAGGGTGTGTTTCTTTCTGGGAGTCTTAAGGTCGGTATGATATCTAGATTCATGCGCACTGTGTTCGGTCAAACTGCTGGCATCATCATAGATTGAGTCTTAAATCAGCTACGTTGGCATTCGTTGAGTAGTTGCTTGTGAAGATGCTGATGTTTAGCTGATTATGTGACGAAGGCTTATATCACAGCGGTTGCAAAGAATCTCTGCTCTTCCCACGGAGTCTTCACTCTGTGTTGAAGGTCAAGGTCATACTTGTCATTTTAGGTGTCATTTTTCCAATTTTAACCAGAATTGTTACTCATCCTTGAGTATTGTGTGATTTTTACTGAGCCCTGCACACAGTCATCACCTAATGGATCAAGGTGAAGGTCACGCTTGAAAATTCATAGTTTCACATAGACTTGGATTCTGTCAATCAGAGACAGGTGGGCAAAAATGTTTCAATGAGTCTAAGTTACTCAGCGTAAAAGCCTGTGTGTGTGTGTGTGTGTGTGTGTGTGTGTGTGGTGTGTGTGTGTGTGTGTGTGTGTGTGTGTGTGTGTGTGTGTGTGTGTGTGTGTGTGTGTGTGGACACTGCCTTGTCAAACGACAATAAATCCTCAGATGTTATTACGTGCCTGGTAAGGCTTTGCAGTATCTCTGGAGCAGCTGAAGACAAAGTCTGTCTGAGTGCTGGACAGGTGCTGTGCAAGATGGATAAATATTGTGCGGTGACACAGTTCTGCCACTGTTGTGTTTTCCACGTATAAAATATTTGACTTTTCGTGATTTTAAGTCTGGGATTCACACGAACCGTCTCGGCTGGTCTGCCTGGCGCCGTCTCCTTCACTGATGTCACTGAACAGTGAATAAGTTGGCAACGCGAGTTCTTCTCGTCATTGCCAACTTACCAGCTGTGTTGCTACATTTAGTCCTTTCACAGTTATTTTATTTGTTTATTTATTTTTGTTGTTGTTTGTTTTGTCTAAATATTACGTACTGCTGCTAAGCAAAGCACTTAATACTGACCGCTGGATATAAAAATGCCCTGATGTATTCACATAGCGGTGCTCCAGGACTGATCATTACAGGACCGTTTGGAGAGCTGTTGGTTAACAGGTGATTTCTGTATTTACAAGAGGTGGAATAACCAGACACCACACAATATGATATTATTGGGATTTTTAACATTTTCCAATATGATGATTAACCTTCCTGTTCTATGGGAATATAAGCAAAGTAACATCAGCTAGCTTGAGGTGATTCCTATAGACCGGGAGTAGGCAACTCCAGGCCTCGAGGGCCGGTGTCCTGCAGGGTTTAGATCTCACCCTGGGTTAACACACCTGAATCAAATGACTAGTTCATTACCAGGCCTCTGGAGAACTTCAAGAAATGCTGAGGAGTCATTTAGCCCTTTAAATCAGCTGTGATGGATCATGGACTCATCTAAAACCTCCAGGACACCGGCACTCGAGGCCTGGAGTTGCCTACCCCTGCTATAGACTGATGGCAACATGTTGACAATCTATGCATCTTACAATTTAGACAGTAAGTGTTGAAAATCTTCAGCTCTGTCTCTGAGACTGATTGCATTCGGTCCAAGTCAGACACCATTATTCGTGCAATCCCCTCGTAATTGCCTTTTTATTTTTTTATTTCTGTCCCGTCTCTCACCAGCCTGGTTCTGCCAGAGGTTTCTTCCTGTTGAAAGGCAGTTTTTCCTTCCCAGTTTAGCCAAATTTTTTTCCCCAAGGGGGTTGATCTTTACCTTACACTATAAAGTGCCTTGAGGCAACTGTTGTTCTGATTTGCCACCATGTAAATAAGATGGAATCGAACTGACTTAATCAAACGGGGCCATAAGTGTGCAGCACCCTCAAGCTTGGGACAAACATGAGGTCACCACAGGTTGCAGTTGGCTGGAGGATGTGAAGAAATCAGGCAAATATCATTTCTATTTTATTTATGTATCTATTTATTTTTTGTAGGTGGAGGGAGGCTGCTCTCCCACTGGTACTCGCGTGACTGAGCCGTTAGTTTACTCTGAAGTAGAAGGTCGCTTTTTCCAGATAAGTGTGTTGTACGTTTTTTTTGTTTGAGCCGATTTAGTGAATGTTTGCTCCGCTAATGTTATCTGAGGAAGGTGGTGCATGAGATGAGCCTCGTTTGTAGGATTCCCAGTGTTTCTGTGTATTTTGCAGTGTAACAGCAAACGCAGTAAAATAGTTGTGGGAGACCAAAAGCATGGGCACCTAAGGATCATTCCAGGTGAGATATGTAGTAGTTACTGGTCATTATCTATGCAGCCACAGCGAGTGAGTAAGCCGGCCACCTGGGAAGATAATACAGGCAGTGAAAAAGTACCCGAACCTCTCATGACTCCCTCAAACATTGCTGACTCGCACTTTCTCTCACCTGCTGCACACAGCCAATTACTGAAGCACATACACTCCGTTACAACCTGGTATTTCCTCCTGCAGGCAGAAGAGGACAAGTAAAAAGAGCTCCCTGTTCTGCATTTTAATTTGGAAGCACCAGATGCCTGCACTGAACTGATGCTTTAACCTGTTTGAACAGTCCTTCGGCTCGACCTTTCAAAAATGCTCATGTGCACACAGAGCCACACGATCAATTATACATGTGTGTTTTCATATGTAGGCTGGAGCACCGCAAGGCCTTCCCTCGTCTTTGCCAAGCAGGGCAAGACCTAGAGACAGGAAATATGAGACAGGAAACAGTCGAGTGAAGCTCTTTTGTAATAAAAGAGAACACTTTCAGTTCTGAGCTGCTCTTTATTTTACAGTAAAATATTTTATGTAAAATATTGTATACTTTTAAAGCAGTTTGAGTTGCATGTAAGAAATTTGAATGAAAGCAAGATTAAAATAAAATAAAAAATGTATCTAAAACCACGACCTGTGCCTGAGGTCACGAGCGAGTCCAGCCAAGCTCCTCTCGTAGCAGATGGGAGGGTCCCGAGGCAGGATGGAGGACTGAGCTCGCGCCTTCGGCT